GATGAAGAGTCTCATGGACTATCTGCCTAAGCTAGTTTTTTTTTTTTTTTTTTGCCAGTCGTGGGGCCTGAACTCTGGGCCTTTGCACTGTCCCTCAGCTCTTCAGCTCAAGGCTAGCACTCTACCACTTGAGCTACAGCGCCACTTCCGGCTTATTCTGCTTATGTGGTGCTGAGGAATGGAACCCAGGGTCTTATACATGCAAGGCAAGCATTCTACCACTGAGCCTCCTTCCCAGCCCCCTAAGCTAGCTTTGAACTGTGATTATTAAATCTCAGCCTTGGGAGTGACTACGATCACAAAACTGCCACCCGTGCCATTTTTTTTTTAATTTATTTTTATTATTCTATTTGCTTTTTTTAAATCTGGAAAATGTTTAACTAGGATAACTAATCCTTAAATTACTGTGAATACTTGACACAAACAGCAACCAAAGTATATATACTTCAATTTTTTCATATATATTTTTATTGTAAAAATACTGTACAGAGGGCTGGGAAGGTGGCTCAGTAGTAGAGCGCTTGCCTTGCATGCTTGAGGCCTTGGGTTCGATTCCTCAGCACCACATAAGCAAAAAAGAAAAAACCCCAGAAGTGGCGCTATTACTCAAGTGGTAGAGCGCTAGCCTTGAGCTGAAGAGCTGAGGGACAGTCCCAGGCCGAGTTCAGGCCCCACGACCGGACCCCCCCGCAAAAAAAAAAATACTGTGCAGAGTGGTTACAGTTACAGGAGTAGGGTAATGAGTAAATTTCCTATCAAGCATTGTTACCTCCTCCTTTGTTTTCCCCCATCCATCCCTTCCATTCCCATATACTTCTACTTTTATGGTAAAAGATTTTGCAAGAATAGGGTCAGCTATTTTAGTATCAATTATAGGCAGTGCTGAACATCAAACCCAGGGCCTAACACATACTAGGCAAATGCTCTTTCACTAAGCTATACTTCTAGCCTTAATCTTAATTCAATGTTAAAAAAAAATCATTTCACATAGCTCAGATGAAATTTTTCTAGTGAATATAATGTGTTTTTGTCTTTCTATAATAAAGTAAAAGCCCAGAGTTCAAGCCCCATGACCAATTAAAAAAAAAGAAAAAAAATCCCTAATAGAAAATATATGAGATGATTCTTTTCTTTTCTTTGGTCCAGTTGTGGGGGCTGAACTCTGGGCCTGGGCACTGTCCCTTAGCTCTTCAGCTCAAGGTTAGTGCTCTACCACTTGAGCCACAGCGCCACTTCCGGCTTTTTTCTTTTTGCTTATGTGGTGCTGAGGAATCGAACCCAGGGCCTTAGAGCATGCAAGGCAAGTGCTCTACCACTGAGCCACCTTCCCAGCCCTCTTTTTCCTTCCTTTCTACCTTCCTCCTTCCTTTTCTCTCCCTTCTAATACTTACCTCCCTCTCTTCTTTTCTCTCTTTGGAACTGGACCTTAAAAATCACAGCCTTTCATTTGCTAGGAAGGTGTTCTACCCCTTGAGTTATGCCCCTAGCCCTTTTTTGCTTTAGTTATTTTTCAGTTAAGAGGCCAGTTTTTGTCTGGGGTCAGGCTACGGCTTATCACTGGTCCCTCACATAGCTATGATCACAAATGCATGCTTCCATGTCCAGCTTATTGAGATGGGATCTTCCTAGCTTTTTGCTAGGGCTGGTCTTGAACTGAGATCCTCCTGATATCCGCTCCCTAAAATCTGGGATTATAGGGATGAACTACCAAGTCTAGCAAGTTTTAGTCTCTCTTTTTTTGGTCAGTCATGGGGCTTGAACTCTGGGCTTGGGCACTGTCCCTGTGCTCTTCAGTTCAAGGCAAGCCCTCTACCGCTGAAGCCACAGTCACTTCCAGTTTTCTATTGGTTTATTGGAGATAAAGAGTCTTATGGGCTTTTCTGCCTGGGCTGGCTTTGAACCTCGATCCTCAGATCTCAGCCTCCTGAGTAGTTAGAATTACAGGCATGAGCCACTGATGCCTGGCTAAGTTTTAGTCTCTTTAAAAGTCTTGTTCCTATTGAAGCTTTTTTCATAGGACAGAAGCTAAATTACTGAACATCTTGTGATATAATTTATTTCAATGAATATAAATCCTTGGCTGTAATTAATAAACTTAGCAAATAAGAAAATGGAGGCAGTATAGATGAGGCAATGAAATTAAAACAGACCTGAGGGGCGGAGGAGGAACTGTGAAAAATCAGAGCATCATTTCTTCTTTCCTCATCCTCCCTTTCCTTCAAGGCTGTTACAAGTGTCCCAGAATAGGAAAAAAGTCTTTCAGATGTTGAATAGAGGCAGAAAATAAAAATGCAGCTTGCACAAATGATAGCTCTAGTTATATCTATAGTCCCAGTATTTGGGGAAAGTCAAAATTCCATCATTTTGAATAATAGATCCATTTAGCCATGTTTTGGGTAACATACCCATCCTAAACCTTAGTCTTTATGCTTAAAAACTCAGTAAGGTGATTAGGGATTTCTACATGACCAGATCAAGTCTTCTGACAAGAAATCAAAATAAAATCCCTCCAAAAAAGAACCAGTATTTGGGGTCTTCTTCACTTCCATGTTCTGTGGGAAAAGCAGATGTTTCCTGTCCCCTTTCCTATTTTATCCTGTTAAACTTGTTAAACTTTCATCTTGTGAGACACTGTTTTTGTTATTTTTCTTTTCTGTGAATCTCAAGTTCCTGTAAATTGTGTGGGAACCCCCCTAATCCTTTCTTTTCTTCTACTACTATTAAGCTCTAGAGAGAAACGTTATCTTTTGATCTATAAATTTCAGGTAATTTTCAACAGAAAACAAGTTGTTTCTTGTCGGTTGTGGGGCTTGAACTCTGGGGTGGGTGCTGTCCCTCAGCTCTTCAGCTCAAGGCTAGTGCTCTACCACTTGAGCCACAGCGCCACTTCTGGTTTTCTGGTGGTTTATTGGAGAAAGTCTCATGGCCTTTTCTCCCCTAACTGGCTTTAACTGTGATCCTCTGATCTCAGCCTCCTGAGTAGCTAGGATTACAGGTGTGAACCACAACTATCCGGCAGCAAGTTTTATTATTGGTCATGGGGCTTGAACTCTGGGCCTGGATGTTGTCCCTCAGCTCTTCAGCTAGTGCTCTACCATTTGAGCCACAGGGCTACTTTCAGCTTTTTCTGTTTATGTGGTGCTGAGGAATTGAACCCAGGGCCTCATGCATGCAGAAAAAGCACTCTGCCATTGAGCCACCTTCCCAAGCCCAAGTTTTATTTATTTATATTTATTGTGAGAATATCGTACAGAGGAGTTACAATTACATGGGCAAGATAACGAGTACATTTCTTATGAAGCAATTTTTTTTCTTTGGGTCTGGGTCGTGGGGTCTGAACTCTGGGCCTGGGTACTGTCTATCAGCTCTTCAGCTCAAGGCTAGCGCTCTACCACTTGAGCCACAGCGCCACTTCTGCTTTTTTTCTTTTTGCTTATGTGGTGCTGAGGAATCAAACCCAGGGCCTCAAGCATGCAAGGCAAGCGCTCTACCACTGAGCCATCTTCCCAGCCCTCAAGCTATTTTTTTTTATGGACCTAAAAATATAATGCATTTTAAGTTTTGAGTAGTTTGTTATTTTCTGTGTTGTGGATCCCATCAAGTAAAAGCAGTATCCAACTAGGAGAGGCTTATTTCAAACAGTACCCAAGCCCTGTACATAAATTCTTTTCAGGTCAAATTGAAAGATTCATCACACAGAACCACCACTAGTAAAATAATTCTTTTTCTTTTTGAAGAAAACCCTTAAGAATTCACATTTCACTTTATTGTAACAAGATTTTTCTTTTTTTTCAATCCTGGGGCTTGACAAGGCCTAGACACTGCTCCTGAGCTGCTTTTTGCTCAAGCACCGTTAGCACTTGACCCACAGTGCCATGCCTGGCTTTTTCTGTTTATATGGTACTGAGGAATCGAACCCAGGGCTTCATGCATGCTGGGCAAGCACTGTACCCCTAAGCCACATTCCCAGCCTTTTTATTTTAAAACAACAAACGTTTTAACTTACCAAAAAAAAAAATTAATAATACGGAGCTAGCCAGGCCTGGGTGGCTCATGCTTGTAATCCTAGCTACTGGGGAGGCTCAGTTAGAGCTGTTATACTAAAGAGAAATACCACATTAGGAGCAGACTACCAAACTTTGTCCTCACAGCATTCGTGGCCTGGACTCTTTCGGGGCGGCAAACGTTTGCAGCAGGGGCGGGCGGGGTGGGCAAGCGGGTCCCGGTCACCCGAGGCGTGGGACGTGGAGGTAACGGTCGACAACGCCGCGCAGGCGGGAGCCGAGGTGGGCAAGTCGCGGGTGGGCAGCCGGCGGGAAGTCCCGCCCGCAGGGGCTCCGGCAGGGGCGGCGACGCGAGGCCCCCGGGGCACTTACCAGGCCAGGCCCAGGCAGGTCCCCAGCGACAGCAGGCTCAGCCCCGTCCGGGGGTCCGCCCAGCCCCCGCCTCCGCCGCCCCGGGCCGCGGGGCTCTTCCCGCCCTCGCTCCGCTTCGCGGGCTCCGACGAGGCTGCCTTGGGCCCGGGCTTCCGGCGGCTCTTCACTTCGTTCATGTCTGGAGGCCCCGAGGCCCACAGGCTCGAGGATGGCGGGACGTGGCGGCGGGCGCCTCCCCGGGTAGCCTCGCCCCGTTGCGGAGCCGGCGCCGCCCAGAACCCAGCCCCCTCATTTTCCGGGCCGTCCCAGCCTCCGCTGCCCAGTTCCTCCGGCAGAGGAAGGCGACGACCCCACCTTCCTCGTTGCTTCGCGTAACTGACGCAGACGCGCGGACCTCCGAGTTCCCGGTTGTGCGCAGGCCCCGCGAAAGCGGAGCGTCCCTGGGTCTTAACCCCACCCCCACCCCGCCAGGTCCCTTAGCCAACCCCCCGGCCGCGGTTTCTAGCCACGCTCCCCAGCTGCCTTGGGAAGGTTGGGTGCTTCCCATTGGCTCGGGAGAATATGGCTCGCCCCTTGTGGAATTAGCCACGCCCCTACTCCCCGCCTTGGGTCGTGGCCACGCCCCTACCCCGCCTTTGGGAAGGCCGGGCACTTCCCATTGGCTCGGGCGAACCCCGATTGAGGGTGCGCGGGGCGGCGGCCGCGGCCTCCCCTAGGAACTCCGGCCGTGTGTATTGCACTCGCGCAGGCGGGCGGGCGCGCGCTGTCTGGGTTGGGCGGGCCGAGCGGGTGGGTCTGGCCTCCCGGCGGTCTTGTGTCTGTGGGGAAGGTGGTAGCTGGTGGGTGCGAACGCTTGAATCTGCACGTAGACGAAGGGACCGGAGGGTGAAGATTCCCCGCCGTCCGCGTTCTGCCAGGGATTTGAAGCGGCGGCGGCGGCGGTCCGGGTGGCCTTGGGCTCCCGCCGGGCTGCAGCTCCCGCTGGACGGAAGGCGCGGCGTCCGTGGAGCCCTCAGGGGCGGGGTTCCCCCCCCCCCCCCGCCCCGAGGGCGGCGGCGGGCTGGCTGGGCCTGGGGAGGGGACGCCCCCGCGAGCCTGGCCTCGGAGGTCCCGCGGGGTCTTCCTGCGCGCGCGGCTGCGGAGGCCCGGGGGAGGCACCCGGGAGACCCCGGCCTGCCCGCGTCCCCGGCGCCCCGCGCTCCCCGTCGGAAGCCCTCGGCGTCCTGGAGCCTCCTGGTGTCTCCCCGCGGGGCTGCTCTCTTCCCAGGGAGACCTCAGTTCCAAGGTTTGGGTGAGTTCACCTCTGGGCTTTGTTTTCCCTCCCAGAGCCACATTCTCTTTCCTTTTGGGGGGGGGGGGTGCGGTGGGGTGGGTGGGGCTGATTTCAGGGACTCCAGGACCCAGGGTGAGGGGGGTATTTTCCAACGGTCCTCTGGCTGTACCAGGAAGAACTAACGAGGAAGTAGTACCTTGATTCTGTATTTTCTTTTGTGTTTTTTTTAACATCTCCAGGGTTAAGAGTTTTGGCTTTTTCATTTGCATGAGGTTACAGAAGATGGGACACAGAACGTATTTTTCGTATGTCAACCCGTGTGAAGTTTGAAAAACACGTTGAAAAATGTCTTCTTTAGGTTTTATAGGACCAGGGGAAACGGGAACTTAATTTCCGATCGCCCCCGAAGAGCGTCTGTTTGTGTATATGTGGGACCTAACCTATTTTTTTGGACAGATTCAATATCAAAACTGTCAAGAAGCGTATTTTAAGACACCCCCTTCCCCAAATATGATCGTTTTAATTTTGAACGCAGATTAAAAAAATAGTTTAATAATAGTCCTGGGCACCTTGACAAGCATACCCTACTTTCCTATTTTTTTCAAGTGCTGTATTTGATAACTTTTGAAAAATACGGTCATTTTTTTCGAAGCTTGGTGATTTTTGCTGCTTTTCTACGTTCTCTGAGTTACTTATGTTCATTTTCGGTTTTGCACTTAGGCCATTCACTTTCTATTTCTATGCCTTTTCTTCTTTACAGCTTCCTGTATAGAAGAGCTTTAAATATGTTTTTTGCCAGTCCTGGGGCTTGAACTCAGTGCCTGAGCCCTGTTCTTGAACTTTTAAGCTCAAGGCTAATGCTCTGCCACTTGAGTCACAGCTCCACTTCTATCTTTTTGGTAGTTAATTAGAAATAAGTCCTTCCTGGACTGACTTCAAACCACCCCTCCTCAGATCTCAGCCTCCTGAGTAGCTAGGATTATAGGCATGAGCCACTGGTGCCCGGCTCTGAACTGGGCTTTATACAAATATATTTGAAATAAAGGTGGTAGAAACTTAAAAGTATTTTACTTAAAAAAAAAAGTAGCCAGGATTGTGGTTCTATGCCAGGAAAGTCCATGAGACTCATCTCCAGTTAACTACCCGCTGTGGTTCAAAGTGGTAGAGCACCAGACTTGAGCCAAAAAGCTCAGGGATAGTGTCCATTCCCAGAGTTCAAGCTCCAGGACAAAAAAAAAAAGCAAAACTATTTTATGGTAGGGCTGGGAAGATGGCTCATTGGTAGAGCGCTTGCCTTGCATGCGTGAGGCCCTGGGTTGGATTCCTCAACACCACATAAGCAGAAAAGGAAAAATGCCGGAAGTGGCGCTGTGGCTCAAGTGGTAGAGTGCTAGCCTTGAGCTAAAGAGCTGAGGGACAGCGCCCAGGCCCAGAGTTCAGGCCCCATGACCAGACCCCCCCCTCCCCCCCAAAAAAAAGTATTTTATGGTAGACTGTAGAAAATGTTATTCTTCCTTTGTCACCGCTTAATCCAAAAATGACATCAGATGGTATTTCCTGTTGCTTTGTGAGAAATATGTTTACTGATAAAGACTTGGAGCTTACACCCAATTCCTAGAACTACTACTTACTACCTTTTTAAGGCTCTACTTCTTTGGGCCACAGCTCCACTTTTAGTTTTCTGGTGGTTAACTGGAGATGAGATGAGTCTCATGGACTTTCCTACCTGGGCTGGCTTTGAACTGTGATCTTCAGATCTCAGCCTCTTTTTTTTGTCGGTCGTGGGGCCTGAATTCTGGGGCCCTGTCCCTCACCTCTTCAGTTCAAGGCTAGTGATCTACCACTTGATCCAGATCGCCACTTCTGGCTTTTTCTGCTTATGTGGTGCTGAGGAATCGAACCCAGGGCCTCATGCATGCAAGGCAAGCACTCTATCCACTGAGCCACCTGCCCAGCCCCATGATCTCAGCCTCTTGAGTAGTTGGATTACAGAGGTGAGCCACTAGAACCAGCTATTATTGTTTTGTGTGCTGGTACAGAGGCTTGAATTCAGGACCTAGATGCTGTCCTTGAGCTTTTTTCAATGAAGGCTGGTGCTCTACCACTTGAACCACAGTGCCACTTCTGGCTTCTTGCTAGGGCTAGCTTTGAACCATGATCCTCAGTTCTCAACCTTATGTGTAGCCAGGATTTTTTTTTTTTGTCGGTCGTGGGGCTTGAATTCTGGGCCTGGGCGCTGTCCCTCAGCTCTTTAGCTCAAGGCAAAGCACTCTACCACTTGAGCTACAGCGCCACTTCCGGTTTTCTGGTGGTTTATTGGAGATAGGAGTCTCACAGTCTCTCCTGCCCGGGCTGGCTTTGAACCGCGATCCTCAGATCTCAGCCTCCTGAGTAACTAGGATTACAGGCGTGAGCCACCAGTGCCCGGCTTGTGTAGCCAGGATTATAGGTGTGAGCCACCAGTGACCAGCTTTATTTTACTTTAAATGGGGAAAAACAAAGATTAAGATGTCATTAAAGAAAGGGGGAGCTAGGCAAAGGGGAAGCGTACTGCTTTCCTGCTGTTGAGCTAGTATAGGATTCAGGACAGGCTTTTATGGGGGTAGTTGGGCTTTGCTGATTGGCTGTCTCCCTTTTTGTGGGCCATACTGATTGGTTGTCTATTTTCTGGACCATAGTTTAAATTTTGCACTCAGCAACATCTATTTTTTTTGTCAGTTGTAAGGCCTGAACTCTAGGCCTGGGCGCTGTCCCTCAGCTCTTCAGCTCAAGGCTAGTGTTCCACCACTTGAGCCACTTCTGGTTTTTCTGTTTATATGGTGCTGAGGAATTGAACCCAGGCCTCATGCCTCGAGGCAAGTGTTCTACCACTGAGCCACCTTCCCAGCCCTGCACTCAGTAACATCTTGAGAGCTCATTTTTCACATCCATAATCCTTCTGGCCTATCTCCTGCCTTTGACTCATTGCTGTGTTTGGTTTGGCTCTTTTCACACATTTAGCTCACTCCTTGCTGGTATTTCTCTATCTGCTGTGTCTCCTTTTTTTTTTTTTTTTTGTACCAGTCCTGGAGCTTAAACTCAGTGTGTGGGCACTGTTTCTGGGCTTTTTTCCTCAAGGCTAGCACTCTATCACTTGAGCCACAGCTCCATTTTTGTCAGCTGTGAAGCTTGAACTCAGGGTCTGGATGCTGTCCTGGAGGCTTTTTGTGCTCAAGGCTAGTGTTTTACCACTCTTCTGTTTTTGAGATAGGAGTCACAAGGAGACTTTTCTTCCCTGGGCTGGCTTTGAACCACAGTCCTCACATACCAGACTCTTGAATAGCTAGGATTATAAGCAGGAGCCACCGAGTCTCGTTAAATGAAGATTTCTGTACCCTTTGTCTTGTATATAAGTTTTATCTGATTTGGGGAGGGGAAGGGGAAGCACAGAAATGGTGGGTCTAAGGGTGAACCAATTCAGCAGTGTTGGAAATGAACTATACAAGTTTTTGGGGGAGGGAAGTCAGGAGGGGAAAAAACTGGAGAGAATAAGGGAGGAGATGACACTGTTTAAAAGGAAAGGTACGGGGCTGGGAAGGTGGCTCAGTGGTAAAGTGCTTGCCTTGCATGCATGAGGCCCTGGGTTCGATTCCTCAACACCACATAAGCAAAAAGAATAAAAGCTGGAAGTGGCGCTGTGGCTCAAGTGGTAGAGCGCTAGCCTTGAGCTGAAGAACTGAGGGACAGCGCCCAGGCCCAGAGTTCAGGCCCCACGACCGGGCCCCCCCAAAAAAAACAAAAAAAAAAAAAAAGGAAAGGTACTTGTTACTTGAATCATGTAACTGTAACCCTTCTGTACATCACCTTGACATTAAAATTTAAAAATAAATAAATAAATGCAAAGGGGAAAAAAAGACTTCTTCACACTGCTCTGTGACAGAACAACAGAACCAGTGGTAGTTTTAATGGGGCAAATATTTCATCTCCTTGTAGCTGATTTGATCTGAGTAGGATCATAGAGATGTCTCATGGACTTTCCTGGCCTGGCTAGCTTTGAACCACGATCCTCAGATCTCAGCCTCCTGAGTAGTTAGGATTACAGGGGTGAGCCACCTGACTGACTTCATTATTTTTTGTCTTTTTGTAATAAGGTGGGTTAAAAAAAAAATAGTGAAACAAGAGAATAGGAAAAACAAAGGTTTATTAGAATACCTGAAAGGGCTGGTCTGGACTATACCATTCTTCTGTTTATGCTTCCTACCATAGCTAAGGTGACAGGTGCCATATAGCTTTTTCTGTTGAGATGGGGTCTTGCAATTTGTGTTACATGTGCTGGTCTGAAACTATTAATATCCCTATTTGATTTTTCCATGTAGCTAGAAATGACAGCAGTGAATTAACTGGTGCCCAGGTTTGACACTGCTTTGTTAAGTTACTTTGTGGATTTTTTTTTTCTCTATATATGTGATTCTTTCCTAAAGGTAGATTCCTAGAAGCAGGATTTCTGGGTTAAAGAAAATAGTTAAACACTTTAAACGTATCTATACGGCCTTCTAGAAGAGTGACACCCATTTTGTACTCTCTCTTTAAAATAATATTTAAGAATGACTGTTTCCTCACACCTTCCTTTTTTCCCTGGGTTTTATTTATTTGTTATTGTAAAGGTGATGTGCAGAGGGATTATAGTTTTGTAAATTAGATAATGAGTACATTTCTTTTTGAACAGTGTCACTTTTTCCCTCATTTTCTCCCAGTTTTTTTTCCCTCCCAATCCCCCTCCCCCACATGTTTACATCTTTGAATGTTTCTTCTCTATTTTAGCAGACAAAAGCAAAACAAAACAAACAAAAAAAAACCCTTGTTTTCTTGGCAGTTTGTCCTGACAAATACCTTGGTATTTTTCCTGTAGCTCATGATTGACAGCTCAGAGAGAGAATTGGAGGGAGGATGGATGCAAAAGCTCGAAATTGTTTGCTTCAACATAAAGAAGCTCTGGAGAAGGATATCAAGACATCCTACATCATGGATCACATGATTAGTGATGGAGTTTTAGCAATATCAGAGGAGGAGGAAGTGAAAAATCAGGTAAAACTCTCTAAAACAATCTACTTTCTTAAACGCTTTTAGAATTTCAGAATTTGGATTGGTCTCTACTAATTAATGTTGCAAGCTAGGTGCTGGTGGTTCACACCTGTAATCCTAGCTACTCAGGAGGTTGAGATCTGAGGGTAGTAGTTCAAAGCCAGCCTGGGCAGGAAAGTCTTCTTGAGACTCTTATCTCCAATTAACCCCCAGAAAACCAAAAGCGGTGCTGTAGCTCAAGTGGTGAGTGGTAGGAGCACTTGCCTTGAGCTGAGGAGCTCAGGGACAGTGCCAGGCCCAAAGTTCAAGTCCCATAACTGACCAACCGACAAAAAAAAAAATGTTGCAAACATATTTGCTACTGTATACTAAACTACTTTATTATTTTTTTAGCCTACCAAACTTCAACGAGCAGCTGTTCTCATGAAAATGATACTTAAAAAGGATAATTACGCCTACATATCATTTTACAATGCGCTTCTACATGAAGGATATAAAGACCTCGCTGCCCTTCTCCATAGTGGCATTCCTGTTATTTCGTCTTCCAGTGTCAAAGACTCAAGTGGTGGAATAACTTCGTATGGTTTGTATCCTTGAGACTTCTGTCCCATTGCTATTATGCTGGCTGTTGCATCGTTGCAGCTGTGTCTAATTGTAGTAGGTTTAATATTCTGAAGTAAATGTAAATGTAATCGGTTCACTGAAAAATTATAGTGATAATTTCAAGTTAAATATTTAGTAAACACATTTTCTTCTGATTTAGTGGGTTATTTATTGCTAAGATAACAGCATGTACACTCTAGCTTTCAGACATAATATTGTCTGTAAAAGCTTTATTTATTTCCTGGTCTGGTTCCATGTGTTTATGCAGCTTATAGTATAGAATAAGAATCTTTAGAAATCTGTATTCTTTTTTTTGCCAGTCTTGGGGCTTGAACTCAGGGCCTGGACTCTGTCCCTGAGTTAGTGCTTTACCACTTGCCATGTGCCACTTCCAGTTTTTTCTGAGTAGTCTAATTGAAGATAAGAGTCTCATGGACTTTCCTGACTGGGCTGGCTTCCAACCATGATCCTCAGGTCTCAGCCTCCTGAGTAGCTAGAATTACAGGTTTGAGCCACCGGTGCCTTTGTTGAATTCTTTTTTTTTTTTTTTGGTCCGGTCGTGGGGCCTGAACTCTGGGCCTGGGTGCTGTTCCTCAGTTCTTCAGCTCAAGGCTAGCACTCTACCACTTGAGCCACAGCCCCACTTCTGCTTTTTTTTCTTTTTGCTTATGTGTTGCTGAGGAATCGAACCCAGGGCTTCATGCATGCAAGGCAAGCGCTCTACCACTGAGCCACCTTCCCAGCCCGTTTGTTGAATTCTTGAAATATGTGTTTGCTTTTGTTCTCTGTGTTTCGAGAAATCAGAAGGTTGAAGTTAATACCGTATCCACATTTTCTTTCTTTTCCTGGAAATTTTAAGCCTAAAGCCTCAACCTTTCCCTTTGAGATTTTAGTGACATCACTTAGTAGTCATTTTATGCTTGTTTTGATTTCAGTAAGAACAGTGCTATGTGAAGGTGGAGTACCGCAGAGGCCAGTTGTCTTTGTTACTAGGAAGAAGCTGGTGAATGCAATTCAGCAGAAGCTCTCCAAATTGAATGGTGAATCAGGATGGGTCACAATATATGGAATGGCAGGCTGTGGAAAGTCTGTATTAGCTGCAGAGGCTGTTCGAGATCATTCCCTCTTAGAAGGTAAGTTTTGACCACAGTGTGTTGCTGGCTAAGGAGATAATTCTTTAAGAATTGTCTTGACTTCCTGTTGTTGTTAATAATAAATTGCCACAAATTTAGCATTTGGTGTAAAACATATTTGACTGCTGGTGGCTTATGCTTGTAATCCTAGTTACTCAGGAAGCTGAGATCTGAGGATCGTGGTTCACAGCCAGCTTAGGCAGGAAAGTTCGTGAGACTTATCTCCAATTAACTGCCGAAAAGCTGGAAGTGGGGCTGTGGCTCAAAGTGGTAAATTACTGGTCTTGAGTACAAAAGTTCAAGTACAGTGTTAACCCTGAGTTCAGACCCCAGGACTGGCCCAAAGAAACAATAAACAAACAAACAAAAACACCCAAAATATTTATTATCTTGCAATTCTGGAGATTTTTTACTTGGTCTAAATGTTGAAGCCTGGTGCCTGTGGTTCAGGAAAAGTCCTTAAGAGTCTTATCTCCAGTCAGCCAAAAAAGTCAGAAATGCAGCCATGGTTCAAGTGGTAGAGGTCTAGCCTTGAGCAAAATGAAGTTCAGAGACAGCGCTTAGGCCCTGAATTTAAGCCCTGGAACCTACCTTCCCACCTTTCCACACAAAAAGAAACACAGCTGTTATCAATGTAGTTTCTTTTGGAAGCTCTATGGAGATTTTTTTTTTTTTTTTTTTTGAGACAGTCTTATTTTGTAGCCTAGGCTGATTTTAAAATTTCTTTGTAGCCCCTGGTTACCTCAAACTCAATCTTCCTGACCTGTGATTGTCTTCCTATCACCTGAATTACAGATTGAACTCAGGGCCTTGTGGCAAAAATAAAGAGTTCTATCACTTAATCCATGCCCTCAGCTTGGAAGAGCCGTTCTGTCCTGTGCGCCCCACCCCACCCCTCTTTCCTAGAGGAGTCTACATTCCCTTGACTCATCATCCCCTCAGTGGTGATGCTTAGCATCTTTAATTCCACTACCCCTTCTCTCCTCTCTCTGTCTACCTCTTGTCTCCGTTTTCTTTCTCTATGTTTCTCTCTCACACTCTCTCACACACACCTTTGCTTCTGTCTCACATTTCCTTTATTATACTTTTTTTTTTTTAAAAGGGGAAAGAGAATGCTGGGGATCAGCCTAGGATATCTTACATGTTAGACATGTAAGCTGAATCCTTTTTGAGGTCAGAAATTCTTGCTTTAAGGGTCCTTATGATTACATTAAACTTACTTTGTAATCCAGCATAATCTCATTTAAAAACCCTGAATCAAATATATACATACAAAGTCCCTTTTACCATGTGAAGTAACTTTATCAGTGTGGTGGATTACGTTGTGAACATCTTTTGGGGCCATTATTCTCCCTATCATAGGCATAGCAAATTTGGAATTTATTTTCTGCCTCACTTGTTATAGTGAGACTTGGTCAGCCAGGCCAATAAGTTCACAAAGATATCAGATGGCTGGAGTGAAGCTAATTCTCTTGCATCTTAAAAACAACTGAAGGGGTTGTAGGATTGCAAAAGGTTACCCACTTTATATCCTTGCCTTTTAGGCAGGAATAGACTTAACCCATCTTGTTAGCTGAGTATTTGTTTTAGCATACAGTGCAATAAAGAGGTACTTGGAAATTCAATTCCATTAATGACTTTCTCAGTGGGTGATTCTCCTGTGTAGCAACTTGTATTAATTTAAATTATTTCTTTTCTTTCCCTTTCCCCGTGCCCTTTTTTTTTTCTTCCTTTTTGTGCTAGTATTGGTGATTGACCTTAGGGTCCAGGGCATTGTCCCTTTTATTCTCAAGACCAGCACTCTACCCACTTGAGCCACAGTTCCACTTTGGGCTTTTTGGTGGTAATTGGAGATAAAAGTCTCATGGACTTTACTGACCAGGATTGACTTCAAACATGATCATCAGATCTCAGCTTCCTGAATAATGCACACCTATAATCCTAGCTACTCAAGAGGCTAAGATCTGAGAATCGTTGCTTAAAGTCAGATCTTTTGTTATCTTAGGGTGGTGGTTGATATAAATAAGAGAATATTAAGTTTCTAGCTACTTCTGCTTATATTTTTTGTTTTTTTTTTGAGATAGGATCACATATATTGTAGGTTGCCTTCAAATTCTATATACAGCTCAGGTTGGCTTTGAGCTTGCAATATTACTTCAGTGCCCAAGTGCTAGGATTACTTTTTAAGTGACTCAATTTTCTATGAGATTCTTTTTTTTTTTTTTGTCGGTTGTGGGGCTTGAACTCTGGGCCTGGGCGCTGTCCCTCAGCTCAAGGCGAGCGCTCTACCACTTGAGCTACAGCGCCACTTCCGGTTTTCTGGTGGTTTATTGGAGATAGGAGTCTCACAGTCTCTCCTGCCCGGGCTGGCTTTGAACCACAATCCTCAGATCTCAGCCTCCTGAGTAGCTAGGATTACAGACGTGAGCCACCAGCGCCCAGTGACTCAATTTTCTTTCGGAAGTTATAGTTTTTCTTAGAGTATGGAAATTGTTGCCATACCTTGAAACTATTTATATTGTTTTTTCATATGCTGAATTTTAAAACTTGGATGCTTTCACTATCAGCTGCCTATTTGCTTCTGTTTATTTCAAAGATTTTTTGAGATGCAATTAGTCTTTTAGTTGTTACCAAGAAAAACCTCATATGAAAGCAGGATGAGGTTTGCTTTTTCTAAATAAATGCGATTTTCCTCTAAATAAACTTCTCTGAATAAATTATAAGCACAAGCCTCATTCAAAGCTAAATTGCTCCCTCTTGTGCCCATTGTCAAGATGTTTAGATTCTCTCTGAAATTGTAAATAGTACTTCAGTATTTAACTAAATGTTTTATTGTGGTGGCAGGGATTTTTAGATCAGTTGGTCACTTGGTCTGTTTGTCTGTCTTTTGAAAGCTAGTAATTTTTTTTCTTGTAATACTCTAGTGTTTTGGATTGATTTATTTATTTTAGCTTTTAGCTTTGAAGTTAGGGAAAACCTTTAACCTAGGTAATTGGTGCTTAAACTAAAATGTTAGCAATCATGGTGTGCATGTTTACAATCTCAGCACCCAGGACTGAGGCTGGCAGGATTGTGAGTTTGAAATAAGCCTTAATATAGTAATGAGACCCTATGTTTAAAAAAAAGTAAGAAATTGGAGACATGACACAAGTGGTAGAATGCCAGCCATAAATGGAAACAGCTGAATAAGAGATGAGGTACTGAGTTCAACCTTAGTGCTGGCACCAAAAAAAAAAAAAGGAAAACATTCTTTGTACTTGTCAGTATCCCCTTTCTCCTAAATTTTAAGATTCACCCCAAAAATAATCTTGGATGGAAAACTGGATTATCTTTTCAACCTATTTCTTTGCATTTGTATGTGTATACACAGAACACAGCTAAGTGACACTATTAGAACTTGCCTTTTCATAACTGTTGATATGTACTGAAGGAGATCTGAGGGAACTTGCGGAAGCTTTTAGGTAAAGTGATACAACTTCTGTGTACTATCTTCTGAAATAGTAGCCCTAATGATCAAACCAGACTTGACAGCCCTGTCTTCACTTATTGTAGAGTTCTCTTCTAGTGTATGTATTTCAGTGTATAAACCAATGTGGAATTGTCAGGTGTAGTATATGAAGAATTTATATTTTTGGCACCTGATATATATGTAAATGAAAAATACATATTGTAAGATATATTGTGGTCTGGGAGAGAGTGAAGTAAGGAGTGACATTGTCCAAAAAGAAATGCATTCTTTACATGATTTATGTAACCGTAACCCTTTTGTACATGACCTTTATAATAACAGTAAAAAATTAAAAGAAAGATATATATGGTTTGATTAATAATGCTGAGAGCAACAATGATAATGGCTGTTTTATAAGTGTATACAAGTTCAAAGCTTAATATAGGATACAGACACATAGCACTAATAATTCTGTTATAACCTTTTACAGTTAGCATAGCAATTTCACATGCTTTATATTTTCTCACAGCAACTCTGAAAAAAATGGAATAGATAGTCTTTATTTCAATATAACAAATGTGACTGAGGTTATATTGCTAAAAATTACATAGCTGGTAAGTTGTAGATCTAACTTGAATTTAACTAAGAATAAGAACCATAATGAGTAAGTTATATATTCCTGGGCATCAGTTATTCTCATTTGGGATGATTTTGTCCCCAGGAGCATTTGGCAATGTTTAGAGGTATTTTTGATTGTCAGTACTCCTTAGGAGGGAACTCTACTGACACCCCGGAGGATAGAGGCCAGGGAGGCCTCTGTGTAATGCATGAGACAATCTCTGAGAACAAAGAACTATTCTGCCTCAAAATGTCAAGCGTGCTGAGGTTGAAAGATGGTGCTGTGCAGTGATCATTAATGACAAAGAACAGATTGAGAAATTTTGCTTTTGGAAGATTTTTCTTCTATGCTTCAGTTTTTGTTTTTTTTTTTTTTTTTGGGTCCAGTCGTGGAGCCTGAACTCTGGGCCTGGGCGCTGACCCTCAGCTCTTCAGCTCAAGGCTAGCACTCTACCACTTGAGCCACAGCACCACTGCACCACTTCCGGCTTTTTTTCTTTTTGCTTATGTGGTGCTGAGGAATCAAACCCAGGGCCTCAAGCATGCAAGGCAAGCGCTCTACCCCTGAGCCATCTTCCCAGCCCCCTATGCTTCAGTTTTAATCCAGATTTCAGATCTTCAGTTTCCCTTAGATTTAGCATTTATAACTCAATAATAATTTATCATAATTATGACTTGAATAATTATGACTTGAATCAAAAGAAGGTGAAGACATAATAAAAGTTAAGATTGGAGTGATTCTGATGTTTATGTTTATGTATGTGAATATGTTTATTTATTTGCTTATTTATTTATTGTGTCTGTATTGGTGTTTGGGCCCTAGGTTCAGTCAGCTTGCTTGTTTGCTCATGGCTGTTACTCTACCCCTTGATCCAATACTTAATCAGTCCAGAACTTGGCTGGTTGATTGGAGATATTCTCCAGTTTTCTGCCTAGACTAGATTGAAACAGCAGTCCTCCAGGTCTCAGCCTCCTAAGTAGTAAGGATTACAGAAATGAGTCATTGGTACCTGGTTTTAATTTTTTTTTAACCGAATAAGTAGCTGGCACTGGTGACTCAAACCTGTAATCCCAGCTATTCAAGAGGCTAAGATGTGAGATCTGAGATCTGGCAGTTCAAAGCCATCCCGGGCAGAAAAGTACCCATGAGACTCTTACCTCCAATAAACTGCACAAAAAAGCCAGAAGTGGCTTTGTGGCTGAAATTGTAGAGCACTAGCCATGAGCACAAAGAGGCCCAGGGACAGCATCCAGGCCCTGAGTTCAAGCCCTAGGATGGGCAAAACAAAACAAAAAACCCACAAAAAAGGCCTGAGTAAGTATAGTTTAGGAAGACTTAAAATATTTGGCTCCTGATACATATATCAATAAAAATATTATTTCAAGATTTTTTTTTTTTGGTAGTGGGCTTGAACTCAGGCCCTGGATGCTTTCCTTGAGCTCTTGTTCAAGGTTAGCGTTCTACCACTTAAGCTACATACAGCTCCTCTTCTGGTTTTCTAGTGATTAATTGGAGGTAAGAGTCTCAGGGACTTTCCTGCCTGGGCTGACTTCAAACTGTGATCCTCAGATCTCAGCCTCCAGAGTAGATAGGATTATAGGCATGAGCCACCAGAGCCCAGCTTATTTCAAGATGGTTTAAGAGCAAAACAATGCAAAAGAGACCTCATGTTCAAAGGCCTTAAGTTTATGATTCTTTTCCTCATTAGGTTGTTTCCCAGGAGGTGTACATTGGGTTTCAATTGGAAAACAAGACAAGTCTGGGCTTCTGATGAAACTGCAGAATCTTTGCACACGGTTGGATCAGGATGGGTCTTTTTCCCAGAGGCTCCCACTTAATATTGAAGAGGCTAAAGATCGTCTTCGCATTCTAATGTTGCACAAGCATCCAAGGTACAGATGGTCAAATGAAGTTGGTATGTGAGGTCTTTACTGACATCTCAAGATGTTATGCCCTTTCCTGCTGTTTTGTAGAGGGACCAATAAAGAACCATTGCTTTTCTGCTAGTCTTTATTTTGTATTAAAAAAAAAGTAGTTACTAAGTTTGGAATTGCCATTTCTCTTTTAAAAAAATTCAGTTCTTATTATAAAGGGGCCATAGTTACCTAAGTCAGATAGAGTATATTTCTTTTTGGACACCCCTTCCCTTACTCTATCCCAGTTTTTTCCTCCTGTCCCCACCCACGAGTAAGTACTGCTGCTGCATTTTTGTTTACCCTTTATCGCCATGTCTTTTTTTTTTTTTTTTTTTTTGGTCAGTTGTGGGGCTTGAATTCAGGGCCTGGGTGCTGTTCCTGAGCTCTTCAGCTCAAGGCTAGTACTCCACCACTTGTGCCACACAGTGCCACTTCTGGTTTTCTGGTGGCTAAGTGGAGATAAGAGTCTCATGAACTTTCCTGCCTGGGTTGGCTTTGAACCGTGATCCTCAGATCTTAGCCTCCTGAGTAGCTAGGATTACAGTTGTGAGCTGTCAGAGCCCAGCCTTTTATCTCCATTTCTGTACCCCCTTCCCCTTTTCCTTCCCAGAGTCAGATAAATGAACAAACAAGATGGAAACGAAAACAAAAACAAAAACAGCAACAAAGGAAAAAAGCCTCTTGTTTCCATTTCCGGGACTACTTCTTTTTCCTGAGAAATATAACTTACTACTTCTTTTTTTTTTTTTTTTTGCGAGTCCTGAGGCAAGAACTCAGGGCCTGGGCACTATTCCTGAGCTTTTTTGCTTAAGGCTAGTATTCTACCATTTGCCACAGCTCCATTTTTGGTGATTATTTGGAGATAAGAGTCTCGTGGACTTTTCTGCCAGGCTAGCTTCAAACCAGGATCCTTACATCTCAGTCTGCTGAGTAGCAAGGCTTACAGGCATGATCCATTGGTGCCTAGCAATGTAAGTTATTTCTGAATAATTGATGAGTGGCCTTTACTAGAAAATGCAAACTTTTTACTTGAATCCATTGTTTTTAATGAGTTAACATAGAACAAAAGAGGAAACAAATGTAAGCAACTGGTAAAAGAATGAATGAGGAAGGATTTTTTTTAAATTGTGAAAATACTGTACAGAGGGGTTACAATTACATGGGCAAGATAATGAGTACACTTCTTATCAAGCATTGTAGCCTCCTCCTTTGTTTCCCCTTCCCATCCCTTCCCAATCCTCCCCTCCATCCCCCACCTAATCCTCCTCCCCTGCCCCCCACCAAAGTTGTAAAGTTCGTTTTTCCACATAACGACGTGTACATCTCATTGTTGCAATGGGTCCACCTGTATCCCTATTTGAACGATTTGTTTTTTCCCTTCCCCTCCACAAATTATACCAACATCAAATACAGTGAAAGAAGGGGTTACACGGTGGGGGAGGGACATAATCTTATAATCTTATAAATGTGTTAGAAACAATCTCATGAAAGAAAAAAAAAAACCATTTGAATACATATCTTAGGGTTCATTTCCCTAAAATCAACTTATCTGACCTTTTCTGCTTGACTCAAACATATACTAATTATTGCAAATAAGGGAAACCATGGGACCTATGTTTCTTTGGGCCTGGCTTACTTCACTTAATATAATTTTTTCCAAGCCTTTCCATTTCCTAACAAATGGGACAATGTCGTTCTTTCTGATGGAGGCATAGAATTCCATTGTGTATATATACCACATTTTCTTGATCCATTCATCTACTGAGGGGCATCTGGGTTGGTTCCATATCTTAGCTATAATAAATAATGCTGCAATAAACATAGTTGTGCTGGTAGCTTTAGTGTGGTATTGTTTGTAAACATTTGGGTAAATGCCCAAAAGTGGGATTGCTGGGTCATAGGGGAGCTCTATGTGGAGTCTTTTGAGGAACCTCCATACTGCTTTCCAAAGTGGTTGAACAAGTTTACACTCCCACCGGCAATGCAATAAGGTTCCCTTCTGTCCACATCCCCTCCAGCATCTGTTGTTATTAGAGTTCTTGATTTTAGCCATTCTAACTGGAGTGAGGTGTCTTAATGTTGTTTTGATTTGCATTTCTTTTATGGCTAGGGAGGTTGAGCATTTCTTCATGTGTCTATTGGCCATCCTTCTTTCCTCTTCAGAGAAGTTTCTCTTTAAGTCTTTAGCCCACTTATTTATTGGGCAGTTGTTTCTTTGAAGATTTGTTGTTGGGGGGTTTAATTTTTTGAGTTTCAGGTATATCTGAGATATGAGACCCTTGTCCGTTGTATGGCTAGTGAAGATCTTCTCCTAGTCCGTGGGTTTTCTATTGATCTTGCTAGCTATGTCCTTTGCCATGCAGAAGCTCTGCAATTTCATGCAATCCCATTTGTCCAACCTTTGATTTGTTGTGTTTCTGGGTCTCTATTAAGAAAATTTCGGGGGCTGGGAAGGTAGCTCAGTGGTAGAGCACTTGCCTTGCATGCATGAGGCCCTGGGTTCGATTCCCCAGCACCACATAAGGAGAAAAAAAAGAAGAAAATTTCGGCCTGTGCCAACAAGACCTAGGGTTTCTCCTATTCCATCCTGTAATGTTTTCAGAGTGTCCGCTTTGACTCTGAGGTCTTTGATGCATTTGGAGTTGATTCTGGTGCAGGGTGATATATAAGGATCTAGCTTTAGTTTTCTACAAGTAGTTAACCAAGTTTGCCAGCACCATTTACTGAAGAGGCTGTCTTTCTTCCATTCTATTTTTTTAGCTCCCTTATTGAAGATTAGATGGCTATAGGTCTGTAGGTTCATTTCTGGGTTTTCAATTCTATTCCATTGGTCCTGAGGTCTGTTCTTGTGCCAGTACCAAGCTGTTTTGATTACTGTGGCTTTCTAGTACAGTTTGAAATTTGGTATTAATATTCCTCCAGCAGTGTTCTTTCTGTTGAGGATCATTTTTCTATTCAGGGTCTTTTATTGTTCCATATGAATTTTTGGATTGCCTCTTCTATTTCCTTGAAGAATGAGGTTGGAATTTTGATAGGTGGGGCAATGTCATTATTTCTTTCTTTCTTTTTTTTTTTTGGGTCCAGTCATGGGGCCTGAACTCTGGGCCTGGGCGCTGTCCCTCAGCTCTTCAGCTCAAGGCTAGTGCTCTACCACTTGAGCCACAACGCCACTTCCGGCTTTTTTCTTTTTGCTTATGTGGTACTGTGGAATCAAACCCAGGGCCTCGAGCATGCAAGGCAAGCGCTCTACCACTGAGCCACCTTCCCAGCTCCATTTCATTCTTTCTGATGGAGGCATAGAATTCCATTGTGTATATACTACATTTTCTTTATCCATTCATCTACTGAGGGGCATCTGGTTTGGTTCCATATCTTAGCTATGGTAAATAATGCTGCAATAAACATAGTCGTGCTGGTAGCTTTAGTGTGTCCTTCTTTGTGATCATTTGGGTAAATACCCAAAAGTGGGATTGCTGGGTCATAGGGGAGCTCCATGTGGAGTCTTTTGAGGAACCTCCATACTGCTTTCCAAAGTGGTTGAACAAGTTTATACTCCCACCAACAATTCCCTTCTGTCCACATCCCCTGCAGCATCTGTTGTTACTAGGGTTCTTGATTTTAGCCATTCTAATTGGAGTGAGGTGTATCTCAATGTTGTTTTGATTTGCATTTCTTTTATGGCTAGGGAGGTTGAGCATTTCTTCATGTGTCTATTGGCCATCCTTGAGGAAGGATTTTTATTTCTTATGGTCCTGGGGCTCAAACCTATAACTTTATATGTGTTAGGAAGTGTTCTACCACTGAGCCACATTGTTAGAAGGTTATTTATTTTTTATTATAGTAGGAATTGAATGTCAGACATAGCACCTCAGGCCTAGCACATGGTGATCAAGTACTCTTTAACAGTGAGCTACATCTTCAGTCCCATAATGTATTACGTACTTAAAATTTCTAAGACAGTTGTTTTTTTTTCCCCCAACACTGGAGAATAAACTGAGCTCCTCAGACATGCTAAGCAAGCATTCTGCCACTTGAGCCAGGCCCCGGGCCCTTTTTGCTTTAGGTCACTTGAGTTAAGGGACTTGGGTGCTGTCCCTGAGCTCTTTCGCTTGCATCTAGCACTCTATCACTTTGAGCCACAGCTCCACTTCTGATTTTCTGGTGGTTTTTGGACATGAGTCTCAGGTCCTTTCCTTCATGGCTTTTGAACCATGATCCTCAGATTTTAGCCTCCTGAGTAACTAGGATCACAGGTATGAGCCACCAGTACCTAGACTGGCTTAGTTCTTTTTTTTTTTTTTTTTGGTTGGTCGTGGGGCCTGAGCTTACCCTGGGCACTGTCCTTCAGCTTTTCAGCTCAAGGTAAGCACTCTACCACTTGAGCCACAGTGCTACTTCTGGCTTTTTTTGCTTATATGGTGCTGAGGGATTGAACCCAGGGCCTCATATATTCAAGGCAAGCACTCTACCACTGAGCCACTGTCCCAGCCCCCTGGCTTAATTCTTGTTGTTTGTTTTTTTTTGTCGGTTGTGGTCCTGAACTCTGGGCCTAGGCACTGTCCCTCAGCTCTTCAGCTCAAGGTTAGCCCTCTACCACTTGAGCCACAGCGCCACTTCCGGCTTTTTCTGCTTATGTGGTGTTGAAGAATGGAACCCAGGGCCTCATGCATGCAGGGCAAGCACTCTACCACTGAGCCACCTTCCCAGCTCCCCCTAGCTTAATTCTTGAATGATATCCTTCCTAATGTTTTGTCTTGGCTGGCCTGAAATTGCAGTCCTCCTTATCTCTACCTCCCATGTAACTAGGATTATAGATATAAGCTACCATACCTGGCAGGAAGGATTTTTAATAGTACCCGTTGTTGGAATGCCTTAGTTTTTATAGTTGTATATATATACTCTTCTGTGTGTTGTATAGATTTGTTCTTTCAATAAGGAATTCAATAAATACTCTATAATTATTATGCCAGGGACTG